CATAACATAGCATAACATAGTTTTCTTTCGAATTTTTTTTTTTTTTTTTTTTTTTTTTTTTTGCCAGGACCTTCCTCGGTCCTTGCACGGCTGACCCCCGGGGGAAAATAGGGTGACCCGGGCGGCCCGGCTGGTAGCCTAGAAAAAAAAAGGGAAACAAGACGAATCACCAGGGACCTGAAAACCAGAAACTAGTTAGGGGGGGGGGGATCGTGAAAGGCACTTCGGCGGGTGCGGTAGCACTCGGCCCCAGCACCGCCTGCGGTGGGCAGGCCTAACCGGCGACGGGTGGACCCACCGTGGATCCCCGGCTGCAGGTGGTAGCTCCTAGTCATCGCTTCGTCGTTGACCTATGATCTTAACCATAGCTGATGCTACCAGCGGTTAGATGTCTTCCTGATCGCGCCTCGCCTCAGCCACACGAAGGTGGAGTTAGATTGGTGTAGATGTTTTGTCCTTCGAAGTAGAAGGTTATCCAAGTGTAGAAGAACCCTTCTCAAGAAGTGCGTTGTCAAGTATGGAGGTTGAGCCAACAGGGCAAGGTGAGGGAGATGGAAGGGAGCAAGTCCCAAGAGATTATCGTCTGGAAGAAGAAAGAGTCAGGGAGATGATCAGGGCATGCTTTGAGGAATGAATTCTCCCAACTGACATAGATCCGGGGGAGATGCAAGTCACAGGCCGAGAAGTGAAGTTTGTCATAAACACATCTCTCAATGAGATCAAGGTTAAATGGATCAAGGAAAGAACGGCTACAGTGATTTTTCTAGACGGAGAGCGTTTTCTACCAAAAAAAGTCAAGGAAGATGCAATGTGGGCATACGAAGATGTTTGGATTCGAGACCAGGTCTTCGGGCAGGACTTCAAGTGTGGCAGAATCAAGGTGGAGAGCCCCAACATCATTTCCTATATTCCAAGAGCTCAAGCTATCTCCGACTGGATGCTTAGGAAAAAATCTGATGTTATTGACCTTGCGGGGACTACGTACCGTACGGATTTTAAACCATGGCTGACGCGGGCAGAAATCCGAGATTGGAGGCAGCTGATTGACCAGAACACTTTCTGGGTAGTGGCGGTGGGAATACCGCTGGATGAGATGCCATTTATCCACGTTCATGTGGAAAAGGCTATCGGCAAAATCATGAAGCAGCACAAGCCGGAAGCGGATGATTTTTATTTTTATTTTTAACAACCCGATCAACTGCTAGGGGTGCTGATAAGAGCAGACACCGCTCACCTGCTGGAAATCGGGTCCAGCGTCCCTGTAGAGTACAATATAAGAAACAAGAGCTATTCAACAAAAGCAATGCAAGTATGAATTGTCAGCATAGTTGAGGGGCCCGGAGACCAAGGGCCCATCCCTCCTTCAGATCTGTTCTAAATGTAGACTTCAGCGAGCTGTCGCTCACAGTGTTATTATAATGACCCAGTATTGATGTTGTAACCTGTTGACTATCGAATACTATCCATTACTAATTATGTAGTCAATGTCATATGCTGATGTGTCTATGCCTGTATATGTGCTATAGGATGTTGACGCATGCTGTGTATAGGTGGTGGCATTGTCACATGTGTTTCTTGTTCCATATCACGAAGTGCTGTGTATAATGTGGTTGAGAGTATTCCTAAGTGTGTTCCTATGATACATGCATGTGTTAGTCCATTTGTCAGTGGACTAATTCTAGCCAACATAATTATGCTACCAACACACCCAAGTGTTACACCAGGTCTGCTAACCCTTCGACCCTTGAAACCCTTACTGTCATCCCACCTATTACTATTTGATCTAAATTCTTATTAGGTGCTGCAACAATATGAGATTGGATGAGATTGGATGTCAGCTTAACTGTGTGGCGCTGTCATGGCTCCACCCTGTTGCCCCCGTCCCAAAACCTGCCTGAACCTTCCCTCCCAGTCTCCCAGTATTATCCAAGTGATCTGCGACTGCAGAGGGTATAGCCCAGATCCTCATGTTCCATGCCCCTTCCTTATGCTGCCGATGGTTCCTTTTCCTGTTCCTCCATCGATGTGGTCATACTTGAAGCGTGGTTCGTCTTGAAAGGGTGGGAGCCCTTGCTTGGCAGGGCGGAGGGGGGAGGGGGGGGGGGGGGGGGGGGGGGGGGGGGGGGGGGGGGGGGGGGGGGGGGGGTGTAGTGGGGCGTGCGCAAAGGGCAGGGGCGAGCAGGGGGTTCATGGGGTCATGAGATCCGAAAATACAGACCGTTAATTTGTAACAAGGATGAAGTTACTCGGTTGGAAAGGGATATCAAAGTGGTTTCGTGGCAATCGTTCCCATCAGGACTCCGTTAATAGCCACTGTTTCCATTGGCTGGTTGTCCGAGTCCAGTTCACAGAGCCTCTGTTCGTTACCCACCCATAACGTGCAGAAGTTGTGTGAGAGGTCGTTATGTTTGAATGCATCCGGTTCATTTGTCAGCATGTTTCGAAGCTCTTGCCAGGCTGCATGGGTACTGACCATTATTGTTTCCGCGATTGATGCTCATGCTTCCATAAACCCGAACGTGTGCTGTTTGTGTTCGTGCGCACACCTCATTCGTCAGGCCGCCATAAGCATTGGTGTTTGTATGTAGTGTCGTATTATTATAGTGAACCCGGGCAAGAGCCGTGGCCTTCGGCCTACACAGAGGGGCGTCCATTGGGCCATTAGTGGAGTCTTTTCCCCAACAGGATTACTTTGATATTCCATGGAATATGTGCCCCTGTGAGGTAATGCCAAGCCGTGCACCAGCTCCACAGTTGGGCCACCATTGGGCAGTCTAAAAGAGCTCCACAGTTGGGCCACCATTGGGCAGTCTAAAAGACAATGTTCCAAGGTGCCTCTTCTTTTGGGGGATCTAGTTCCTCCGCAGTAGCTACACAGCTGAGACAGCTCTCCTCGGATTTCCAGGTCCGTTCTGGATGTCATCCAGTCAGGGGTAGGGAGGCATCTGTGGATGATCTGCCATTGCAGAACTCTCAGATTGGTGGGTTGGATCCGTGAATACGAGGCCCAATTGAGACTATGTAGGTCCTCTCTTTTGAGGGGAGAGTCTTTGTCCCATCGTAACCCAATCTGGTCAGTTATGTGTGCTTTCGGTCGAGCAATCCTGTATCCATGTTTAACCGTATATTGTCATAGGTGACGAGAACATCTTCGTGCC